AACCAGGTGAAGCGAGGACCTATTGTAGGTCCCAACTACACCTCCACCTACACAACGGATGTGTCTAATCCTGACTTGTACCCTACACCTTTATAATAAAAGAAAGCATAAAAAAAGAAAGCAACTGGATTTTATGAGGAAGTGCACAGATGGGTCTATCAACACATTCAGAAACCTGACTAAAGTGTGGTCAAACAAATATTCAGTGTTATTGTGCAGAATAACACAGGGAGAAGAATGGGTCTCTGCACGTTCCAACCCTACCAGCTTCCAGAAGGGCGTTTTGCCCTGAGTCTCCTGGGTATTTCCTCCCGTGATCATTTCTAGGAGACAAAAGCCCTTCATCTGTCCTAGGATCAACCCATTGTCAGCTTCTTAAGCCTAGTTTCAGTGACAATTCTTCGGTGGTAATTTCAGATATTAAGAATGTGAGGTTCATTCATTCACCAATTCTAAAGACATACACAAAACGTTATTTTAAAAAGTAGTTGCTGGCTGGGCGGGCACAGTGGCTCACGCCTATAACCCCAGCACTTTGGGAGTCCCAGGTGAGAGGACTTCCTGAGCCCATAGGTCTGAGACCAGCCTGGGCAACTTGGCAGGACCTCATCTCTACAATAAATCAAAAAAATTAGCTGGGCATGGTGGCGTGTGCCTGTAGTTCCAGCTACTGGGAAGGCTGAGGTTGAAGGATCGCCTGAGCCCAGCAGGTCGAGGCTGCGATGGCTGTGAGCATGCCACTGCACTCCAGCCTGGGCAACAGAGTGAGACTTCAAATTAAAAAAAAAAAAAAAAGTAATTGAGACCCTGAGAGGGAGTAGAACCAAATAATCATGAATCCTCAATCCCTTATATGATCACTTCAAAATCCACAACCAGGGAAATCTTCCCAGTAGAAACTTTGGAACTTCTGTTCGTCTCTGACTGCACTCTCGTGGTTTATGCTTGTTTTTCGTGTGTCCTGTTTCCTCCCAGCTCCTAGCCCCAGGCCCTCATCAGATGCTGTCTCTGTCATTAGATCCACAAACGGCCCTCCATTTTGCCACAGTCCCTAGAAAAGGGCATGGCGGGGATTCAAGCACTCCTGCACATTTCTGAGCACATGACTGAGAGTCCTCTTGTCTTTTTTTTTTGAGTTGAAGTCTCACTCTGTCAGACTGGAGTGCAGTGGCCGCTCCCCGCCACTGCAGCCTCGACCTGCTGGGCTCCGGTGATCTTTCTGCCTCAGCCTTCCAAGAAGCTGGAACTTCAGGCGCGTGTACCACACCCGGCTAATTTTTGATTTATTGTAGAGATGAGGTCTCGCCAAGTTGCCCAGGCGGGTCTCGAACCCGCAGCCTCAGGTAATCCACTCACCGCGGCCTCCCAAAGTGCTGGGATTACAGGCTGAGCCACCGAGCCCGGCCTTTTTTTTTTAAATAGAAAATATCGTTTATTTAAAAGTAAATTAGAGAGAGAGAGAGGGAAAGGGAAGATTCGCCTCCTCAAAGGGGGAGAAGGGGCCAAAGCCAGGAAGCATGGCGACAGCCATAACTCGAAAAGCTCACAGCCACACCAGAGTGTAGCCAGGCCGTGGCCAAGTCACCCTTGTCTTCTATGCACTCCCAGTAAGTAGTTTCAAGGGATCCTTGACTTCCCTGAGGACTATGCCCAAAAATGTAAATCCTTATTGACTCCCTTCCTTTGAAATATATAGTACCAATGTAATCAATTTGCATAACTTCTGCAATGCATGATATCTTAGGCCTTGTAAACTTTCTTTACTCTAAATGTTACTATCTAAATGTAAAATGCAGGCCCTGCTCAGTGGCTCAGCCTGTAATCCCTGCACTGCACTTTGGGAGGCCGAGGCAAGTGGATTGCCTGAGCCTGCGGGTTCAAGACCAGCCCGGGCAACTTGGCAAGACCTCGTCTCTACCATAAAATCAGAAATTAGCTGGGAGCGGTAGCACGTGCCTGTAGTTCCGGCTACTTGGAAGGCTGAGACAGAAGGACTGCCGGAGCCCAGCAGGTGGACTCTGAGACTCAAACTAAAAAAAAATAAAATAAGATAAAAATAAAAAAAATAAAATAAAAGTAAAATGCAACAGTAACTTAAGTACTATACAATACTCTGCTGGCCATGTGGCTAATGTATAGGTATTCACAACTCTGGACTATAAAAGCCTAGAGGGGGAGCAGAACCATTTTAGAAAGACCTCGAGTCTGGCTCTGCTCCCTGGATTCGAACTCAGAAAACAAACTTCTTTCTACCAGTTCCCTGCCCCTTTGATTTACTGGTATCAGGGGGGGGCAGCCAAGCATAACTCGGAACATAACAGTTATCGTCAGAAACCAAAATCCCCAGAAAGACAGGTATTACTCTGTAATGGGTTGAGCTTCCCCCTTATTTATTTTTTTTTTTTTAGTTGGAGTCTCACTCTGTCACCCAGGCTGGACTGCAGTGGCACGCTCACAGCCACCTCAGCCTCGGCCTGCTGGGCTCAGGCGATCCTCAGCATTCCAAATAGCTGGAACTATAGGCACGTGCCACCAGGACCAGCTAATTTTTTGATTTACCATAGAGATGAGGTCTTGACAAGTTGCCCAGGGTGGTCTTGAACCTGTGGGCTCAGGCAATCCTCTTACCTCAGCCTCCCAAAGTGCTGGGATTATAGGCATGAACCACAGTGCCCTGCCTGGTTTTTTGTTTTTTGTTTTTTGAGTCAGAGTCTCACTCTGTTGTCCAGGCTGGAGTGCCGTGGCCGCTCCCGGCCACCGCAGCCTCGACCTGCTGTGCTCAGGCAATCCTTCAGCCTCAGGCTTCCAAGCAGCTGGAACTACAGGCACGCGCCACCACACCCAGCTAATTTTTGGATTTATTGTAGAGATGAGGTCTTGCCAAGTTGCCCGGGCAGGTCTCGAACCCGTGGGCTCAGGCAATCCTCTCACCTCGGCCTCCTAAAGTGCTGGGATTACAGGCATGAATGAACCACCACGTCTGGCTCCTCCTTTCCTATAATAGATAATGAGTTGATTGTGAAGGGAAGAAAAGGCAAGTTCTCTTTTTGTGGGGAGGGGTTAAATGTGGTCCTTATCAAGAAGTGGGAAAAGTCTACTCCCAGTCCTGTTGATTTTTAAGGTTTGTTTTTTTTTTTAAATTCAACATACTCATTATGCTAGGAAGCCATACTGCAGGGTAAATTTTCCAGCACTCCTTCACTGGTTCTGGCCCTGGAGATTTCATTCAAAAACTCTGGGGCGAAGGCCGGGTGCAGTGACTCATGCCTATGACCCCAGCACTTTGGGAGACCAAGGTGAGAGGACTGTCTGAGTCCACGGGTTCAAAACCAGCCTGGGCAACTTGGTGAGACCTCATCTCTTCAATAAGTAAAAAAATTAGCCAGGCGTGGTGGCGTGCACCTGTATTTCCAGCGACTTGGAAGGTTGAGGGGGAAGGATCGCCTGAGCCCAGCAGATCCAGGCTGCGGGGGTCGTGAGCGTGCCCCTGCCCTCCAGCCTGGGAGACAGAGTGAGACTTCCACTCCAAAGCAAAACAAAACAAACGTCTGGGATGAAAAGAACAGCAAGGTTAGACTGAAACGTCACACGGGGCGCCCTAAAACTTACTTTCACCCGCCCAGAGCATCGTCAGGCACTTAGCGGATCCAGTCCTGCGCCCCGCGCCCTTCTGCCACGCCTGG